GCTCAGGCATCCCAATCTGGTTAAGCTAATTGGCTATTGTTGCGAGGATGATCACATGCTACTTGTATACGAATTCATGTTCCGTGGAAGCCTTGAGAATCACCTTTTCCGAAGTAGGCATTTCTCCACTTCCTTTTTCTTTTTTTGACATTTCACACGATTCATATTATATCCATGCTTATATGCTTATCTTGTTTCCCTGTGTCTCAATCTCAATTATTACAAATACCTTCTCTTTCCTGCTGCTAATTGCTAACTTGTTCTCATTAACTAGGCTCTGGAAATTTTATTATCTACTTAGAAACAAATACCTTCTCTTTCCTCCCTTTATCATGATAGAAGTCTCTAGTGTAGATCATCTTAAACTTACTTGGTGTAGCTCATTCTGTCATCAGCACCAATTTTTCTGGATTAGTAAATTGTTTTTCTTTCTATCCAAGATAGCAGTTTAACTGCTACGAGCGGCCTGCAGGGCCATGAGCTCCTCTTGGTACAAGGTGATAGTTTAAGAATTTTGTTTCAAAATCATTTCAATACACCATCGATGTTGCCAATTTATATGGAAGAGAACAAGACAAGTGCAGTTGATATGAGAATAATTTTGAGGGGAATTTAGTGGGGTGACACTTGAATTAAGAACATTTGTCTAAAATCCAAACCAACAAAAATTGGTTTATCGCATATCTATTATTTTTCCCAAAAAGTCCTGGCATCCAAATAACTGATACCATGATAGATTATCTCCTCTTTTGTTGCAAGGCTCTAAGATATCATCAACACCTATCTTCTCGTAAACTTATTTACCAATGAAGCAATCATATGAATAGAAACATATGCTGTATGTGTAGCATTCTCCATCTGTCATCCTAGGTTCCTTGGGAATTAAAATTGATGTGTCTCATGCTTATTATAAAGTATCCAAGTTAGAACCTAAAGTCATTAAGTACTTCAATGGTTTCCTTTTGCCTCTTCCTTTTTCATAATTTGTATGACTATTTGTCTGTGGTAGCTTTTCTGTCTACTGTTAACAGAAGTTGATATCTATTTCCTGTGCCATTCAGAGGCAATTGTTCCTTTATCCTGGGCGAAAAGAATGATGATTGCTCTAGGAGCTGCTAAAGGGCTTTTGCTTTCCTTCACAATGCCGAAAGACCTGTGATATATAGGGACTTTAAGACCTCCAATATATTATTGGACTCTGTAAGTATTTGCTTAAATTGTTCATGCATGAACTTGCTCGTCTTCTTCTCCCTTGATTGTTGAATTTGTTGTCCCCTTTAATCTGTGCTAGTTGAAAAACGAAAATCCATTCGGTGGTATACTACCATAATTCTTATTTATGGATCTCTATTCCTCTTCAACCATGAGTTTGTCTCTTTAATATTCAGGATTATACAGCCAAACTTTCTGATTTCGGGCTTGCGAAAGCTGGACCACAAGGTGATGAGACCCATGTCTCCACTCGAGTGATGGGAACATATGGTTATGCAGCACCTGAATATGTTATGACTGGTATGACCTACTAAAATCTTAGTAATGTGTGATGCATCATAATAACATTTATCAGAAGAATGGGGTCCAGCCAATGGGGGAAATGAATTGATGCCCATCTTTGATAAAAATAGAGAAAGGGCATGCATTTACTATAAGGTTACTTCTCTGAGCTGCCTTACAGAAAGGCATAGCATGAAAGCATGTTGTGTGCAAGCTACCAGCAACCAATAAAAATTTAGCTGATTCACCATATAGGTAGGTATAAGTCCTTTAGTGTCACTGTTGCTGATAACTGTGCTGTCTGCTTCTTGGATGTGAGAGTGAATAAGGAATTTGTTGCATTAGTATTGAGGTTTCTAGTTCTCAGATGCGAGCGTGCATAAGGAGTTTGTTGCATTAGTTTTGGGCTTTTGGCAGTGTCAAACGGGAAGATAATTTTGGATTCTCATCATTAATATTGTATGGGATGCATAGAAAGAAGTGGAAATTGTGTTCTTAACACCTGTTTATGAAGAATTATGTAAGCAAATTCAAATAAATCCATCAGATCATTTTTCTCAAGATTTTTTAACAGGATACAATCTACGATTTAGGTCTAACAGAATAAAGAGGTATCAAGGATATATGCAGTTGGAATTTAAGAAAATCTTCAAGCTGATTTTAATTCCTTGCTTCTTAAGTGGCTGTTACCCAAGTTCTGGGACTTTGGTAAATTTGAGCATTTATCATATTGTCTACAACTTCTCTGGTCTTTACTTTTTTCTTCTGGTGGTTTGAACAAATTAAAGCAATTATATTTGATTTGCACGGTTATTTATTTCTTTGTATAAAATGGGCAGGCCATCTGACTGCAAGGAGTGATGTATACAGCTTTGGAGTTGTTCTTTTGGAGCTTTTGACGGGAAGAAAATCTGTTGATAAGACAAGGCTAAGCAAGGAGCAGAACTTGGTGGATTGGGCTCGTCCAAAACTGAATGGTAAGAGAAAATTACTTCAAATAGTTGACCCAAGGTTGGAGAACCGATATTCAGCAAGGGCAGCCCAGAAGGCATGCAGCTTGGCATACTACTGTCTGAGCCAGAATCCAAAAGCGAGGCCGTTAATGAGCGATGTAGTTGAGATGCTGGAACCACTACAATGCACTGGTGGTAGTGCAGATGAAGTCTCCTCGTCTTTAAACTCAAAACTAACAGGTGGTAGTGCTGGTCCATTTGCGATGGGTGGAGTTCCAGATTACCGAGTGCATCACAGATTTTCCAACAACGTTGGACCAGGTGGCATTTGTAGGTCGCCTAATCCAAATTGTTCCCCAGGTGGCCCTGCAGCATGCAGAGTTCGATGAAATTGTCACCTACTTGTACACTTGTTTGGTGTGGCTTTTGTTGCATTACCCCCTGACAAAGTGACAATTTTGCTTGTTAAAACAAGGGTGGTTTTACTTCATTGTACCTAATGTGAAAGTTGTCCGTAGTCTGTTGATTATGTGTTGATTATGCTATTCAACTGAAGCATGTATCACTTTTTCCTTTGCCACTGGGATTTCCTGTTGGAAAGTTGTCTTCAGCTTAAAAGCACGCACTTTCAGACTTGTAAGTAGATGTTTTTTGCTGTAAATAATTTTGTTGAAGATGGTAGACAATGGAGAATGTTGACAGCGACTCTGAAAACGAGCAATTGTTTACCAACGTCCAATGATGACAATGAGTTCACCTTTTTTTTATTGCAAAAGGATTCTTAAACTGCTGTTTGCAAGGTTCATACAACTTTGTGCCTGCAGGGATGGGAGAAGCAAAAAATGATGGACGAAACCCAACTTCATCAATCCTGATACAGTGACAAAACAAAAACAAGCAGAATGATAGAAATATGAAATTTTCTAGTGCGGAGGACAGTTCCAAGTCTGATGACGGGAACAGCAAGCTAGTGAATACAACAACCTTCTTTTCATCTTTAACCAAGAATTGCACTTATGAGGCGGTGGAGTTATTCTATTTTTTTTAAAACCGCTTTGCATAGCGTAAAATGTTGTAGGTTCCCTAGTCCAAACATTGCATATTTGCATATAGCTTTGTTTCGGCCATTTCTCATTCGCTTAAGAACAGGGCCAGTCATAGTATCTCATAGGTCAATAATATTACTAATACTTACATATAACACCATATGGAGTTGCCAGTCACCAATATATCGTCAACATACACCTTAATTTCAGCAGCAATATAAATAATTGTCTGACTTTGAAAAAGTTCAAACCAAGCAAATAAAATAAAATAAAAAAATCTCTCATCTTGGTGAACCAATTTCTAAGCAGCGCCTTTCTCAATTTGCAAAGCAGTGGTGTTCTATCAGCTTTGCTACGTTCAAAACCACTCGGCTGCAGCACGTATACATCTTCACTGTGCTCTTATTTCAACAAGTCATTGTCAATATCAACTTGTCGAACCATTGATAAACAGCTCATGAAAGTAAAACATCTACTGTAAAAGTCTTAACCACATAACCAAAAGATCCACAAGAATTAATAGTTGGGATATCAATTTCTTTTGTGTATTGGATTACTCGACTTTGACCAGAACTTGAAAACTAGATTCGATTAATCTGAATCCGAATCGATCATGAATAGTTAACAATTCTAATCCATTCAATCCAAACTCAACTTAAAAATGAATTGAACTAAAATTAATCCGACCAATTGACATGTCTAGTTCAGGTCGTATTGGCAGCTACGAGAAGCATGCAAGTCTTGTGGTGCACTGTGTTCATTCTTCCTAAGTCAATAATTAGAGGCAATACTTGTGGGAGTGGTAAGGATGAGAGGGGTAAGAGCAGTGCTGCTTGGAAAGAAGCTTGTCTGCTTTAGAGCGAATGTGAGTTGTGATAAAAGCTTTAGAAATTTGGAAAAGGCTGTTGTGGGTAAACAAGTTGTCACCTCTAAGACCTTGTGAGTGACTAAAACCAAGCTGTGTAGCCTTCGTTTCTGGGGTATTTCTAAACCAAGATTCCAACTCAAACGAATTAACTATAGAAAATGAAGAGGACAAAGTATAATTAATTAAAGAAAACGAGAGCTCACAATCAAAATAAACTAAAATCAGGACCTCTAATAGCATTTCTCCTATCCTATGGCTATTAGTACGATCCATGGTTTAACGGCAAAACCATACTGGACTTATTTCCAAACATTAATATCGAGGATCGATGCTGATGTTATAACTTAGAAGAACGGTTGGTGTCATGGGAAAAGCTTTGAATGAGGTAAGGAAAATCAATGGATCAATTTCAACTTAATTATTTAAAAAATATGTAATTATACACTAAAGAATATATATTTTAGATGTATCAATTTCAATTTTACTAATGATAATTATATATTAAAATAATTTATATATGTTTAGTATAATATTATTTTATCTCAAATTAAAATATATATGGATATATTTAAAAGAAAGAAATAAAAATAAAATAAAGTTGACTAACTTTTTTTTTTCTCTCCTTTTTATCTCTCGCTCGCTATTTGTCTGCCCTCGCGCGAGCGAGAAAAGGGAAAGAAAAAGAAGAAAAACGAGGACGTAAACCAAACAAACAATTGGAAGACAAAGGAAAGAAGAAACCTCTGATTTTTCTCCTCTCTCTGCATTTTTGAACAATAGGAGGATCAGTCTTTGATCGTCCTCGATTGAACCCGGATTCAGTCAAACCTTCCTGCTTTATTTACTTATTGACTCCGACAATAGGGTTAAGGTATTTTCCTTCTTTTCATTTCGGATTTTAATTTTTTTTTCTCCAAGGAGTTTCTCCTTTGAAGGTAAGCCCCGATTACATGTGCATCTTCTTCATCTCTTTCTTCAATGAACGTAAGATTGTGTCTTGTCGTTTGTTTAGGTTGTCTTTGTTTATCCCGATTAGAAAAAATAAAGAATTGAAATTCTGTTTTATATCATGAAATGATCGTTTAGGGTTAGGGCCTCCTCCTCCTCCTCATCATCATCGCTGCAAATGGACGCCTCTGGTACGGATTCAGACGCTTACGGAGGCGGTTCTTCTAATTCAAGAAGACACAGAATACTGTCGGCTTCGAATATAATCCAAGCGCCTATTTCAGCCTTGTTAGAGTACTCAGGCCTTCTCCGTACATCTCGTTCTATTCACCAAGAATCCGACCCTCTTATCCCAAATCCAAATGTAGAAAATTCCACTTCTTCCCTTCCCAACAATGGACATGTTGCTATTAGGATAATTGGGGCAGCAGACCAACATGAGAGCGAGAGGGATGCCTCTGGTATGGTTGTTGGCCAACTCAGGGAAGTTACTCCTCAGAGCGAGGTGTTTCTGGGTTTGGGAACATCTGATGGTCAAGGAGGGAACTCTAGGAGAAGCGATCTTGGGGTGGCTACTGGAGAAGGCGAAGGTGTTTCCCGCTCCTCGTCCAGTGGGAGTGTTGGTGCTGATGCAGAATCTGGGGATGGGAGTGGGCCTGGAGTTAATAATAACAGAGATTCCTCCTACCAAAGATATGACATTCAGCAGGCTGCTAGGTGGATAGAGAAAGTTCTGCCCTTTTCTTTGCTTCTCTTGGTTGTTTTTATCCGGCAACATTTGCAAGGTGACTCATCTCATTTTCTTGTTTTTCTAGATTTGCTTCTAGCGATATAATTTCAAAAATTTTGTTCCAGAATATCTGCTAAATATAGCATCAGCATTTAGATAGTTTGAATCTTTGATGTTTGGGAATATTCTGTGGTCAGTGTGCTTATGCATTTTGCAAATGTTCATGGAGTTGGGCACTTGGGCTTTAACTGTTATTGAGAATTTAAGTGCATGCTTTCTTGCTTTTCCTTCTATGCTTCTCAACAACTTCAGTAACTTGTTTACACCAAATATGTACTCGTATTTAAATGTGACGCTACTTGCATGAAGAAAGCTCCTTTGGAGGAATATTTGATGAACATGGGTTTCATCTTTTAGAAGCTTATTGCTGTTGTTCACATAGCCTTGAATCATTTATATCATAAAGCCTATAAGGTGTTACCGGGCTTGCCTAAGTGCAATATAAATCAACAAAATCACCTCATACCCCTTCAAGCCAGGTGTCTTTGGTTAGTTGCCTTTTTCCTCTTATGCTTTTATAAGATGAAAGGTATTTAATAAGCATTCACTGATATAATTGATTTTTTAGTTCCAATTAATTTTTTTATTAGCTGTACCTTCAGTAGAAAGAAAGAACAATACCAACTCACCTTGGAACTTGGAAGAATAAAATATAGGTTATTTAGTCCATGCTCAACCTTTCTTTTCTTTTTTTGGAAATGGAAGTTAAGGGAAAATTGAGTTAGTGTTGTGGTAATAACTTTTAGTTAACCATGACAGATTGACAGTTTTATCTTTGCAACGTATCAGGCAATGTGATGAAGCAAACGCTTCTTTAACAACATTGTTATCTAGTTTGAGCGTACATTTGTGTTCATTGTTTATAGTACATTTCAGATATTAAGTCTTTATACAGGAGAGCATTAATTGGTTTAAACTGATTTAACTGATCAAGTTTTGTTAATTTGGTTCAGCTTATTCAGATTTGAATATCGGTTTAATCATTTTGTTTGTTGGACTATCATTTTTTTAAAATTGATAACTGAATAGAGCAAACTAACAACCATTTTATTTTTAAAAAGTTTAAATCGAATAAACCAACCAGTTTAAGTTGGTTTCCTTTTTTTGTTTTTTGGTTAATCAACAGTTGGTTAGGTCGGTTTTAGTAGTTAATTGGTTTTCAAATTTTAGAAACCAAACCGACCAAATGCTCATCCCTATATCTTTATTGGTGAAGTGCTTGGTTTATGCCTTTCTGGTAGAGCAATACAAGGATCCAAACCTATAGAGTGCTCTTTCTGCCTTTTAAGTTTCATATTGTAATAATTTATGTCTCAAACTTGCAATTGCCTAACTACTAAGTTGATGGACTGCATGAGGTGTGGGGGAGGAACTTTGATTTGGGTTTTATGGCTGCTACAAGGTTAAAATTAACTTTTTCAGTCTTATACCTACTCAAACTGAAGTACTGTTCATTTCAACTTAATGACATTTGCCTTCTGCAAAGATTTCCAGGTTTCTTTGTTACAGTTTGGATTGCTGCTGTCATGTTCAAGTCTAATGACATTTTACGAAAACAAACCGCTTTGAAGGTGATAAAAACTGTGTATTATCTTTATTTTTCAGTCCTATGTTTGATCAGAAACCAGTACTTGAAAAAAAAAAGAACTTATCATCTTAAGAAAATAATTTAAGTATGCCTTCTGGTTGTGGCTGCAGGGGGAGAGGAAGATATCTGTTCTGACTGGCATCTGTATTGCTTTTACGCTCCATGTTATGGCTGTCTATTGGTGGTATTGGAATGATGATCTTTTATATCCATTGGTGATGCTTCCCCCAAAATATATTCCTCCTTTCTGGCATGCTATTTTTATTATCATGGTTAATGGTGAGTTGTTTTCCACAAATATATTTATCAATTGCGATGCAATTTATATTGTCTTCTACTAGAAAAGCAAGAATTTATGGAGATGGTTTAGCAGCTCTTTGTGTTTATACAATGTCTATTGCAAATTCACCTTTCCTGTATACAACACTCAACAGCAATCTTATTCTTCTGTCAAAATAAATGGCTGAAGTAAGAATCATATGGTTTTATTTGTTAAAGTAGACGCTTTATGGAAATTTTCCTTATAGGTGTCTCCCCATATAAGTTTGTTGCTTGGGTTAGTGAACTGTTGTTTACATTTCCTTCTAAATTCAGCACTTTTAGGAACATTATCTGTATCAAAATGAGTGATAATTCATACACGAAGCAGCATATTATGAAATCCTTCCATGTGCATGCATACAAAAGCTGCTCCACCTCTTTCTGTTGCCATTATGTTCAAGATGCTTGTTTGCCCATTTCTATTGTGGATTATTTTTGCCTTATTCATTTATGTGGTGTCATGATTCTGGCTTCTTTCAGATACTTTAGTTCGACAGGAAGCAATGATTTTAAAGTGCTTTCTGTTAATGTATTACAAGAACTGCAGAGGCAGAAACTACCGGAAGCAGGTGAGCACACTTTTTAGTGGACTAGAATATTTATAAATAGCCAAGAATTCATGTCTATATGCATGTTTATGCATGAAGTATCGAGTATTGAAATTTGATGAGGTAAAAAAAAGTATAGAAAAACAATGATGCTAGTAGAAAAAAAATTGATCAAGAACTAATGAACAATCTGCAATATTGGTGGCTTTGTTATAGCTACAATTTAGAATGTACCTACATATATAGCTATATCCTCCTCCATACTGACTTTAGAGATGCATATTTCCAGGGTCAAATGCTAACATTGGTTGAATATATGATGATACTGTACCGTGCCTTACTTCCAACTCCAGTTTGGTACCGTTTCTTCTTAAACAAAGACTATGGAAGCCTCTTTTCATCACTAATGACAGGGTTGTACTTAACCTTCAAGCTGACATCTGTTGTTGAGAAGGTTTGTTTTTCTTTAAAACGTTTTTTTAGTACTTTTTGAAGTCATTATTAATTTACTGTTCGTGTGAAAAATGGGTTTCTGGCAAGTCCAGCTTATATAGCTTTTCTCTTTCTAAGATTTCTCCCTTTCATGGTTGTCAATTTTCAGGTGCAGTCCTTCTTGGCTGCATTGAAGGCATTATATCGTAAAGAGGTGCATTATGGTGCTTATGCAACATCAGAGCAGGTAGTCTGGATTTTATTTTGGGTTGCTGAACTGAACATGTATATATAAATAGATTTGAGGTGCCAATCTGCTTGCAAGCCAACAGGAAGTCACCGAAAGAAATGTTCTTATTGATATTTATTGCATACGAGAAACTCAAAAACATCTCGTTTAGAGAAAGTGAAAAATGGAAGACTTGGATAAAGCTCTTGTCGTTGCTAGTTTTTCTGTCTAGATGCATCAATATCTTTCTTTTCTCATCTATATCTCATCTTAGATCTTTTTGCCACCCTTTTTTCTCTACGCATATCAAGGGTTCTGGAGCTCTAATTGGTAAATGTCGTTTGTCTTACCTTGAGGTGATTTCTGTACACATATCAAGGCTTTTATTGGTTGGTGTGCCTTAGCAGCAACTCATTTTGGGTTGGCATTTAAAAGATGTTGCAAGGCTGTTATTTGCAATGAATTTTTTTTCGTAAGAGCGATTGCTAATTTTTAAGAAAGAAAAGTTGGGTTTTTATAACGAGTCACTTTTTGTTATGTTTTAGGTGAATGCATCTGGGGACCTCTGTGCTATCTGCCAAGAGAAGATGCATGCTCCTATACTACTGCGCTGTAAACACATATTTTGTGAAGATTGTGTTTCTGAGTGGTTAGTTTGTTGTTGCTTTAATGTGTTGTTGCTTCCCATAGATTGGGATGTGTTTGCACCAGTTTATTTGGTTTATTTATGCCGATCTCTTGTGTTGTCCAGGTTTGAGAGGGAAAGAACTTGCCCTTTGTGCAGGGCGTTGGTTAAACCTGCTGATCTGAGATCATATGGTGATGGATCTACTAGTTTGTTTTTTCAGATATTTTGATTTCATTGCTGGATTCAATCGGAATCATGGAATCCTTACCTGCTTGGAAATGTACTTGATCCAAAGCAGCCGTATCCTAAATCATCTTCAACACCAACATCCTCGTCCTCATCTAGAGGGGTAAATTGGATTGTTTGGTTTTGCCATGTCTTGTCAGAGTGAATTTAACTAAGAAGTTGAAACCAAAACAACTGGTTGGAAAGAAGTAAAAAATTGGACGTCTATGTTGTAATGTTAAAGGGTTGAATTTGAATTGAATGTAACTATATAATGGGCCCTCTAAGCAACACAAGGAGTTGGCCTTATCAGTATATGTTACTGCTCTCTTGGCGTAAACGCATACCAATCTTCCCTTATCTGCCAGTTGCAGTTGAATCTGATTTCATCACATTTCCAGCATTCATTATTTCAAAAACAATCTTCATTAATTAGTTAACGCCATTCAATTGCTTGTACCAATAACCCCAACAAAACATCATCTGCGGGATTAGAAAAGGTATACAAAATCATCATCAGCAGGATTATCCCCCATCTCCCGGCTGAGTTTATTCTCCCTCTCCGGTTGAGCGCAGCCTCCACAAAAGCCAAATCTGCTTGCATTTAACTGTGGCCATTGCGGCCTGCATTCGAAGCAAAACAATGCCAGATCATGCATTTAACTGGACAGGACATGATGAACTTGGCTCATAATCTACTTCTGGTATCAATAGTTGAGTTTAACCGTGCCCGATGCCATACCCCTTAACACTTACCTAACCCTATAGTGCGACTTATGATTAGAAATAACAAAATTATCATGGAAAAACACTTAAATTAGGTTACTTTATCAAATTTTCAAGCTACCAAGTTCAATAGGGCAAGAAATTTGTCAGATGGTTCAAACAATCAATAGTTTCCCTATATGATTCAGTGACGCACAATTTTGCCCCCTTACGTCTCGAGATGCCTTGAGTTGGGTGTCATGGTTGGTTTGACTCTGAAGCTGTGTTAGTGGCTGCATTGTGCTACTGAAATCCAATAACTGATTTTGTGCCATGGTAACTGTTCCCTTTCTGTCTAATTTGAAGCTTGCGCGTTTCATGGATGATGTCTTGCGTTTTACTTTCCACAATTGTTCTACCTTGCTGCAAAGACAAGAAATTGTGTTGAAGAATACAGTTACCTTTCCAATGAACTAATGGATGTTTCCTTTCAGTTTTTCAAGTGTTGGATGTCTGGTGGAGAAATCTTCATAGCTTAAACAAATATAAACAGACAGATGGATACAGTATAGCAATTATTCGTTTACCTACCGGTTGAGAATGAAAAAACACAAGAAGAGCTACATATAGATTACAGAGAAATTAGGAAAGAAAAGAAGACGATGAGTTTGAGAAGGATAACAGAATCCCTGTCGAAAAGGTTTACGTCTTACCTCAAAAGCCTTTTCAAAAGAGTCTACTATATGATTAAGGGAAGTAGTGAGCCGTGAGCCTACCCAAGCCCCTTTGTACTGTAGGATAGTCCATTCTTCCATAGCCCTCAGCTGGTATGAATCCAATGAAGCAACAAATACTCTCACCCGGAAGCTGTTGAAGCATCCGACATATGCATGATCCCACTGTACCAGGCGTTTCAAACTCGTGAGGTACATCATCATCATCGTCAATAATATCTTTGGCTTTCCAAGCAAGAACGCCCCAGAAACCTTTGGAATCATTTCTTGAGGCCTCGCAGCCATTAAAGCTCTGCAATTAGACGAGGAAAAATACAGAAAACCAAATTTGCCATTAATAGGCACATAGAAATCTGTAGAGAAAAAGCAGAAAAAACGAAATAGATCTCATTTATAATGTAATGTTGTGGCCATGTAGGCTTAGCTTAATCCATTAAAAATAATTTAGAGAACAAATTTAAAAGTGGAATGAAGCAAAGCATCGATATTTTAAATCTTAAATTTATTATAATCACATGTCCATGGCTGATGGCTTGAATCACATTATCACAACAACCATCCCTATTTACAAATAATACTTAATTCACTGTGTTTGTATCAAATGTTTCACCGCCAATTCCCAAACCTATGAAAAGCTTTATTATGATTTTATCAATGAGTTAATCTCATGAAGCCGCTTCTTCAGAAATGGCAAATCAAATATGAACCCTTTTCTCCACCTCTGATCCAACATATTCTCCAACTCACCCTGATGATTGCTTTTCTCCAGTTTTCTGTCACAACCAAAAACATCCACTACTTCTTCACCCTTGCCATCAACTTTATAACTGCTATTCCCACCATGACCATGAAGATGACCAAATATATTTACAGATTCTCTACTTAGAATAGGATTTCGACGTTCAGGTTGCTGAGAAACATCAGCCAACTTCCGCCTGGCAACCATTTGAGCTGTTGGTCCCAAGTCTTTAACAAACAACATTAAGCTTTCTCTGTAACCCATATCCTGCCGATTAACCTACAAACACAACTTTTTCAGTCAAAAAATGGGCTTAGTATTCATGTTCCATGTGCAGGAATGACTTACAGGAATTAGTGGTTTTGATTCAGTGGATGCATTATCAGAAGTCCAGGGTGTATACGTACAACGTCTATCTACTTCACCATAGCTATTTCTCCTACCATTTATATAACCTGTTACAGAACCATGGGTTAAATTCAGTCTTCAATCCATGTTTTAAAAGCAAATAAATCCAAGTGGCGTATGTTTTTTTATGATATTTTCCAAACTTCAAAGCCATATAATATGAATAAAAAAGAAATCCCGGAACAGTCGAAAGAATTCCCTACTAGAGTGTCTTGCATCAAAACCAGTAGCAGACCCAGAGTGTTGACAAATCCCTCTAACTCTTTTCCTGTGATTTGAAGATGATGGATTGGTCTTGATATTGGCTCTCAAATTTGTTGATGGAGCTCTGGCATCACACATGAGCCTTCTACTAGTTCTTCGTTTTGCATCCGGAAATTCAAACTCAAACTTCTCTGGGTCAGTTTTAAGAGAACTGAAGACCTTTGTTGCTAGTTCATAAATGGCTCGAGCCTGTAAAAAAAGGAAAAAGAAAAAGGCAAGACATTCATTTCATTTAGTGGTTAGAATGAATTAGATATTGTGGCATAGAATTCTTATTCATACTAGTACCTGTCTGAAGTATACTGTTGTTGGGGAATTAAATTGCATAGCATTTCGGGGAATTAAATATACATCATGCTGCATAAACAGTCACCATCAGTCACAAAACCCTACATAATGTCTCATACACAGTTTAATTCACACTTGTCACGCCATCTGAATCTAAACCAAGAAATTCAAGCTAGGGTTCACATGATTGTGACCAAATGACGTTCAACGGATCTACTTGCCTCAAATTGTTGAAGACTTGTATACATTCCTTCATGAAGTTTAGCTCTCATCGTCCCAAAGTCCATAGGATCTTTAATGATTTCATAGTAATCCTCAACCTTGTCATGGTTGCAACATCCATCAGCACAGTATATGAAAAGAGGGACAGACTACTAATTACATACCTCATCAGGGTCAACAGGTTCAGCAAATATTTCATAGGTGTCTCTCCTAACATAAGAAAGATAAGGTCCAAATATCAATATATTATTCATGCAAAGATTATTCTAAACTTAGCAAATCTCTTTCAGTGCAAATCTACTACTTTTTTGATAGCGACTCATCAACTGTATACAACTTATACCTCTGTAAAATGTCGAGAATATGCTCTAGTATACGTTTCTCTGGCATCCATTCTGTATATGGTATTGATCTCGTATTAGAGTAATTAAATTTTGAAAATGATGGAAGGCTTGAAAATTTCAATACCAGGGTAGACTGCTTTATCATCATGTAATTTTGGACTATTTCCAACCCGGGGAGTGGGATGGTCTGACAAAAAACAATTAATTATGTTACTTGAGACAGCGAAGAATTAAGTTGCAAGAAAACCTCAAGGCTTACCACTACTAATTGGATCATCTTCATGGCCTTGTTGGTTGCTGCACTGCACGTCGTTTGCCTGGGGTTTGACACAATGCATAAAGACCTTTGACTTGAATTGATACATGATGAGCTAAAATGCCATAATCAAGCCAAAATCCTCATGACAATGATGATTTGATCATATGCAATGCTATCCCAAATTATCATCTGAATTAATCTCTAATGAGCAGGGTTTAAGATAAATTTACAAGCACCATAAATCAACTCACACATTTTAGCTATTTTGCTTCAGGATTTCGGGTACAAAATAGAACCAAGTATCTGTGTAAATCAAGAAACGAAGTCTAATTAAAACAAGTGCTATGCTATGTGTGACTAAAGTTGAGGGATCTTCCTGATAAATGTAGGTCGAAACTCCCAACAACAAGAAATGTATTGTTTTCTCGGAGTATTTGTGTGTCGTTTTAACCCCGCAGGAACCTTTACTATTTGATGTCAGACTACCTTTTCCCAACCCCAGTTCCCCTCACAAGACTACTTATAAGTAAAACCATAAATTTTCTTGTTTGAGTTGAAGAATGAATCCTTAAATTTCATAGCATGAGTATTAAAAGGACACCGGTGACTGCACCTGGTACGAAAAGGGTGCAGCCACATGTTGAAGTGGTCTTGGTTTTGTTGTTTTCCTGACACTGGCCTTAGCCTGGGTGATCTTCTGTTGTAAAGCCATTGCCTGTGTGGCAATAGTATCCAGGGACCTGGATTGCTGTGCGTTACAAGCATCCAATACAACAGATAAACGCGGGCTCCTCCTCCTCTGCTCGTCCTTCCACTTGGAAATTCTTCCTTTTCTACTGCACAGTACACCATAAATCAAATAAAATTAGCTGAGGCTGCACACACATTGCATCTCTGCCATGAGAAACATAAACCCACCTTGAGCTGGCCATTCCAAACACAGAGACAGACAATTGTAAGGGTAATGAATATATAACAAATGGGGATTTGTGATGATCAATCACATTAGTAATATATTAAGAGGTACATGCATACATACAGCTGTGACTGTTTATGTGAGAGATACGGTGAATCTTCCAGACAAGGAAAAAGCATTTAAAGTCAAACCCCCCAAGGCCTTTGCTTCCATTGTCCCCTGACCTTTTGGTGGTAATACTACTTGAGTTTCCAGTTCAAAATATTCAAAACAAACCCTGGAACACGACACACATTTACATTACAGCTTACTATTATGTCTCTTCTACTTTTGTTCTAATGACTCTACATCAACTTTTGTTGATGTAAACAAAGAAATCATAATCTCAAACTCACCTTCCTTCTTCCCTCCCAGTGTTTAAGCTCTTATCTCAATC